GGCCAGGGCACCCCACTCGAACAGCTGCCCTGGTCAGGCTGGGGGTGGCTGGGGACCATGTATTTGTGATTCCCCTCCCCAGCAGCAGAAACCCTCCTGCCTGCCTGCCTGGAGTGGGGGCTGGGAGATCTAGGATTTCCCTCTGGCCAGGGCCCCTCCAAGTGAAGTGCAGGAGGCAGCTGATCTAATTATAATATGTCTCCGTTTCCTTGGAGACACTATGGCAACCAAGTCTGGCATCCAAGCAGGACTAGTGGTCAGACCTGGAGGCCACAGGTGGGGGCTCCCATGGGGGAAGGAAGGTGGAGGATGGTTAAGCCAGGGGTGGGGGTCATTTGGGGATCTGCTCAGCATGGAGCTCAGACTGGGGAGGGGGCTCTGGGGATCAGCTGGGCAGCTGGGAGAGGGGCTTGGGCCTGCAGGATGAGGGTGCTGGCCACAAGCCTTCTGCCCAGGAGCCTTGCCAGCACCTCTGCACCCTGCCCTTTCACAGGTTGGTTCCGCCCTGTTATGCCCTCAGGGTCAGCTAGGGGCATGTTGGGGTCTTGGGAAGATGGGTTAGTCAGCTGGGGGCTTCCAAAGCAATTGTCCCCAGGCCAGCTTAGCCTTTGTCCAGCTCAGACTCCCTAATGTGCGTGTGTGGGGTGAGGGGGGTGGAATCTAAGCACTTGCTGGGCTCTGAGCCAAGGCCCTGCTCTGCTTCCCCTCCCCTTCCCCAGACTATTTATAACTCTAGGAGTCACTGGGCCATCCCTCCTTGTCTCTTAGAGAGGAGGAATGGGGCAGGGAGGTGACTGGGGCTTTCCATCATGCTGGGGGCCAGCCTGGGCTCTGCCTCCCACCTTACAGCTGGAAAAGGCAGTTAAGGCTGCTGCCAGCCCAGCTCAGAGCTAGGTAGGGGAGGGTATAGGAGGCAAAGCCAAGTCCAGGGCACCCAGACAAAATTTACAGCTCTTGTCCAATCTCTAAGGGTAAGGGACCAAGTCAGGAAGAATGGAAGGTGTTGGGGCACCTGAGGGACCTTCCTGGGGAAGCCACTCACCTCTCTCCACAGTCGCAACCCCCATGGCTGCCTGAGGGAGGGTGGCCCGACGCTCCCAGCGGCCCTCATCAGCCAGGAAGGCCTCCACAGCAGCTACTGGGCTCTGGCCCTCATCCACACCGCCCATCACTAGTACCTGCTTGCCCAGCACCACCGCAGCTGCGCCAGCCCGGGCAGTGGGCAGGGGCGCCAGTGCCAGCCATGTATGTGAGGCCATATCCAGTGTCTCAGCAGTGTCCAGGGGCAGTCCAGCCCGGCCACAGCCCCCTAACACGAACAGGTGCCCATCCTGGTATGCCACCGTGCCATACACCCGGCAGGTGGGCATTGGTGGGAACACCTGCCAAGCAAAGGCCCGGCCACCTCCTGTAGCCATGGTGTTCACCTCCAGTGGCAGGCCATGCTGTCTGCTCAGGCTACAGGCCTCAGTGAGGAGGCATGATGGGGCCTCATCTTGATTCTACCAGGGCTACAAGGGGGCGTCTGACCAGTCCAGGGACCTTGCCTTCACCTGGAGGAGAGAGGGAAAACAAAGGGTCAGGGCCACTGGGTACAGCCCCTCAGGGTACAGATGAGCAGCCTGTAGCTGAGGGCATGGCTGGCCCAAAATCACTGGTGGGAAAGGCAGGGGGAGGACAGATGCCTGTTGGCTAGCACACCACTGTGGAGGCACACCTCCTGGAGTGAGAAGGAGGGCAGACTCCCAGATATCCAGGCAACTTCCCGAATTCCTATGGGGCATGAGGGATTCTCCTCCTAACCCTGTTCTTACCCAGGAGCTCCCTGGTCAAATCTAGGTCTAGGTGGGAGGAAAGGTGACTAGGATAGGATTCTCCTGGCCCCATTCCCTTCCCCTCAACAATCCTCACCCTAGTACTCTAAATGAGCAGAGTCCTACTGTACCCTCCCCCCCTTACTGGCTTCCAGTGTGCCTTGGGCAGCCATAAAGGTCTCTCGCCAGCTGCCAGGGATCAGACTCCAGGGAATCCTTACAAACCCTTTGGGGGCCATTCCATAGAGTTCATCCATTCCCACCAGCAAAAGGCCAAGATCAGGGGAGGGGTTGGATGCCAGGGTCCCACATTCTCCCTTGAGGTTCACCCTCAGGGGTTTGCCCATGCCAGCTTCCCAGAGGCCAGCCTCCTTGGTGTCCAGAAGGGAGAAGAAGGATGATTTTGGGATCCTATGAGCACAGGACTCTAGGCTCCCAGAGTCCAGGGCGTTTCCAGCAGCAATGGGCAAGCTGGACTTCTGGGTCCCCTCACAGCAGATCCCCAAGTTTCCCAGCCTCTCCCATTCCCGCAAGGGCCACGCTCCTGGGACCCCTGGTGCGAGGGCCTCCTTGCCCCTAACTTCCACCTCGCAGGGTTGGGGGGTGTGGGGGCGGGTCCGGGCGAGCGCGCTTGGGGCTTTACACCCCGCACCCCCAAACTTCCCCTGAGCGCGGCTCCCTCGGGACTCACCGGCCTGGGCTCCGGCGCCTCCGCGGCGGGGGTCAGCCGTTCCGGCACCGCTGGTGCCGGCTCTGGCTGGGGCTGGGGCCAGGCTCCAGCGGGGCTCCGGCTCGGCTTCTGCGCGGGGCGGGGCTGGACGGGGTCCGCCCCTCATCCCCCTCCCGACTCGGGAAAACCTCCCCCCGCCTTAACCCTGCACCTGCCGTGGCCGGAGCAGGGCGCGCAGACCCGTGGTCACACGCAAACGGGTGAACAGAGACGGACATGTGGACACTGGGCCTGCCCAGGACTTAGGGTCCGACCTCGGGCCGGGGGAGAAATGAGGCAGCGGTGAGCAGGACAACACATGTATGGTGGGGACCGTTCTAGGCGGGACCCAGCCTGGGAGTATCGGCGCGGGGTGGGCCAGCAGAACCTGGGGGCTTGAGCGGCAGGCACGCGCCCTCCACCACTGAGCTCGAAGGAGCCCAACAACAGCCTTCGCGGCGGCGCCCCCTGGAGGCCTCTTGGGGCATGGCCTGGGCCTCTGGTGGGGGTGGCGGCTGGGTGGCCCTTCCCCAGGCACAGAGCAGGGCACAGAATAGGTCCTATGGTGCACATTGATGCTAGCAGGGGGTGGAGGAACAGACAGTGCCAGCCTCAGTGCTTAACAGGACCTTCCACAGGCCTGAGTGGGAGGAGTTCTTGGGTGGGGAGAGTAGCTCTGAGCATGGGATGAGCTTGAAAAGTCAGGGAACCTCCCAGGCAAGTCACTCTGGCCTCATTCTGTAGGGCCTGAGGCCTGGGCTACTCTGGGACCCAAGGCACTTTGTGACTGTCCATCTTCAGGGTCCCAGGCCTGCCTCTAGCCAACTCTGGGATTAGGCAAGAGCAAGTTGGTGTGACAGAGGCCTTCCTACCTCAGACCCAGACCCTGGCCCAGCCTATCTTCTGAGCATTCAGAGTATTGGCTAAGTCTGTGAGCTGAGGGCCCGTTCATACAGGTCAGTGGTCACCTATGAGACCCTGTGGTTGTCTGTGCTTGCTACTATCTTGTCCCTCTTTCATGGACAGTGTCTGTCTCACTTTCCCCAGAAGTGCACCTGGAGACAAAGATACAAGTGCATATAGTTAATGTGGGAAGTGAGGCCAGGAAGCACCAGCAGAGTAGTGGCAAAGAGACAGGAAAGCAGCCAATAAAGGTTGTGTCATCAAGGAAGTTACTACTGTGGGCAACTGGGACTAAATCCTGCTGAGGACTCTGAGAGACAGTGTAGAACATGGGCCTCGCATTATTGTGTGTGTGTGTGTCCCCCACCCCCCTAAGTAAGGGTTGCTGAGGTACTCATTTTCAAATTTCCATCGTCATGGAGTTGCTTGGGGGCATTAATTCCCTGGGCTGCCTGACTTCTAGCCTGCCCAGAGTGCGGGCAGAGCCTTCTCCATGACTAGAGAGAGTCTTCAACCCCTTTTAGGGGCCTGCAGTGGGAGTTGGAAGTCACCATGGAACACCATATTGCTAAAACTAGGGGGTCCCTATGGTCCTTGGCTCGACTGAAACCTTGCTAGTGTCTTCAAAGCTTCACCTCTTGTGACCTTGGCTTCCTGCTGCTGCTTATCCTGCCTCTCAGAATCTTTTACATGCCCTGCTTCTTCTCCTTCCCCAGGAAGTGGCTCCTCAAGATCTGGCCCTGGCTTTTCTCCATGGCATACAGACTCCCTCCTGGGGTGATCCCTCCCAGGCCACTGGTCTCACTCACATCTAGATCTCCACCAGACCTCTCTGCTCAGGTAAATATGGGTCTAGGTTCCATCACTCGGGACAATAAAAGATACCAAATGGAGAGCAAGGGCTGGATCCTGGAATGACCCAGTAGTCTCTCCCAACCTCATCCCATCAGATCCCACTTACACCTATAGAGTCAGCAAAGTCCAGGTCAAGTCAAACTTTGCTCTGATTAATGCTCCCAGAGAGTTCCATCTGGGACATACTGGGCACCAAGAGGCAGTAGGATCAGCCTCCACTCAGGGAGCTAGGTACCCAATGACCCTTACCCCTAACCCCTACATTCTCCCAGTTCTAATCGCTGGAAGGGACACAGATTAGAGATGGACCTACCCTTCTAAGTCCTCCATTTCCTCTGACCTCTGGGCTGGATATCACCAGAGAGGGATCTCCTTTCTAGGACACACCTAGGCCCATGCCATCCTTGGAGGCTGGTCTCTGTTTCTTCACGGAAGTGGCTTCTGTTTATACAGCCCTGGCCCCACCTACACACAGGGAGCCAATACTGCTGGCTTTGGAGAAGCTGTGAAGGACAACTGGGGCAGAAGGTGAGGCTGGATTGGTCCTGAGAGTGAACAGCTAATCCTCAACCATGGATAGGGCAGTGACAGGGCTCACACACAGTTGAGGACTGGGAGCACTAAGGTGGGACTTCCTGATTGCATCTCTTGAGCCCTTGCCCTTGGGATCCCACTCTTCCCTTCTCTCTACCACTATGAGGGGCTAGAAGCACTGACCCCAGAGGAGCAGGAAAGTTTGCATTTCCTACCAGACACCTTGGCTACCCTTGAAGGCACTGAGGACACCACCATCAGTGCTAAGGCCCTGGGAAGCTCAGGGGCCCCAGGTGAGGCCTAGGGTGGGGTGGGTGTGTCTCTTTAGGGGTGCCTAGACCCCTCTGTATAGGCAGGGAGATGTAGAGCAGCCAGAGAATCCTGGGGTCATATGGGGAGGGAGGAGGGCTATGAACCAGTCCCCAAATGAAGCATCCAGCCACACTCTTGTGATTGCCCATTGGCTTCCACCTGCCCCCAGCTACCAAATTTGGCACCATTGTACATGTCAGCGTCCAAGAGTCGTAGCAGTGTTTCTGTCTCCTGCTCAGGCTCTGACCCAAGTGCAAATGCCCCCACCATCTCATCCATGAAACCAGGGCTTCCATGCTGGCTCCTTGGATGTGGGGGCACCTGACAAGAGGGGCCTTTGGTTAGAGCAGTAGAGACCATTCTGACCCCTCAGACTCCTAGGGTTAATTTTGACCTGTTTCCTTTCATCTGGTGCTGCCTGATCAGTAGGTCCTGTGACACCACCCTTCTGCTGGCCCCAGGGTACAGGTAGAAAGACTGAGGTCCCAGTCTCCTAGGCAAAAGGACAGGGATTCAGGGCAGAGTTAAGACTGGAGGAAGGACTTCTCGCCATTGATGGGGCTGAGGCTGGGCCAGGCTCCCACCACACCCATGCACATGTTCCTAGGCAAGTACACTCAGGCCCACACTGGTATGCTGGGATTCTCAGATTGGACATGCCCAACTTTGGGCTTGTGTGCAGCACATGTGTTCACACCAGCCTTTCATGACACATGCCATGGGCCCCCTTCTCAGGAAGAGAAGAGGGCCTGCTGCCCTCAGAGAAGGTACTCCTGCTGCAAAACAAAGGGGCTTCCCTGCCATACTCCCAAGCAGAGGGCACTCCTCCTTTGCCCACTGGTCAGGCACCTCCGACAGAAGCAGGCCTTGTCAGTGGCTGTAGGAGGACCAGAGAGTGGAGGATAGCTTGGACCTTGTCAGGAGTGCCTCCCAGATGTCGCTGCACCACCAGGCCCCTCAGAGAGGGTGTCAGTCGGGTCCCTAAACCAGTCCTAGCCGGGCTCCAGTGCAGTTGGTGCCTGGGGCCGCGTCCGAGAGCGCCTCTGCTTCTCACACTCCTGCATAGGCCCAGATAGGTTTACAGCGGTCCCTGCGGCCACCTCCTCCAGGAAGCCTTCCCTGGTCCCCTTCTGCCCCGCCCCCAGACTTTGGGGGAAAGGGGTCTCGGGGGGGTCAAGGGTCACAAGGGCGGGCCAGATCCCGGAAGCGGAAGCGCAGCGCACTTCCGGCGCGCAGCGGGCGGCCATGTTGGAGCAGCGGAGGCGGCGCAGAGGCGCGTCCTGGGTCCCCGCGGCGGCGCCGGTAGGTTGGGGCCGTCCGCGAGGCAGCCGGGCGGATGAGCAAGGCGGCTGGCTCTTCTGGGACCCGCGCCGTCCGCCGGCTCGGCTGAGACCCCCCCCTCCACTCCCACCCCGTGCCTAGCGACCCCACCCTGGGGCTGCGCGATCCAGTCGGTCTCGCCCTGCCCGCTCCGCGCATTTTGCTGCCTCTGAGACCCCTGCTTCTACCCGCGGCTCGGGCCCCAGGGACGCAGACTCCCAGCCCGAGGGCCCTGGTCTGCCCCCACACCGGGTCCGCTGGGATAGGGCTTCTCTCGTCCCCCTTCTTTCATCAACTTCCCCTGCCGCCCTCGGGGGCACGTGTAAAGGGAAGTCGGGGGCCGGGCTGCAGCCTCTGTTTCCGGAGCGTCTTGGAAAGCCCAGAAGAACCCCTCCCAAGGGCCCAAACCGACCTGGGCGGAAGAGCCCCCAGTTCACCCCCAATATCTGTGCCTGGTGGGAAACAGGCCCCTCCCTATTCTACAGTTCACAATCCTGGGAACTACACCCCCTGGAAAAAAAAAGAAAAGAACTAAAGTCATGTGCAAGGATTGTGCTTGGAGAATGGCCTCTGGAGAGAGGAAGTGCTGGAGACACCTGAGGATCCAAGAATGTTTCCAAACAAAGAGCCCCAGGGCATTTCCTCCAGGGGATTCTGAAAACTTCCTCTGCTCCATTAGGGCGGTAGGAAGAAGCTGCACAGATGCGCCTCCTGGCCCCAGGGATCTGCCTTATCCCAACTGATCTTTTAATGCTCCAGTGCAGCTGGGGAGCTGCCTCTGGGAGCCCTCAGTGGTGGGTTGGGCATTAGATATTAGTCAAGGTAATTTCTACAGCTTCTTCAGAGAAGCCTGGGATACCTTGGGTGTTCCCAGACAGCTCCATCTGGACTGTACCAAGGTCTGCGGCCCTCCAAACTCTTATTGGGACAGATCAAACCTTTAGTGTCCACCTTATTAACCACCCAGCTTGGAGCCTTTGGCTCCCACTGTCAGACTCTGGCCTCTTGGTCTGACTGCCTGGCCCCCTGCCTGCCTGATTGCTTAGAGATGTGTCATTAGTACCTGCTACTCATCATCTTTTTAGTTTCTGTTGGAGAGTCTGGCTCTTTCCCTGGGGTTCTCCATGACTCTGTTGCTAGGAATCGGACCTCTGAGTCGCCTGTCTGGGGCCTCTGAAAGCAGAACTTATGGTGGGCAGGGAAGTTCATCCTTGGACACCTGAACAGCAGCAGCTGGAGGAACCGAAATGGGCGTGGACTTTGGGTGTAATTGGGCCCTTTGGCCAGCATTCAAGGCTTGTGTTGCCCTGCTTTTACCTGTTTTTCCCACTAGATCTCCCAGCCTTGACCACAGACTCCAGTCACACCAAGTGTGCCTTACTGTTTCTCACTTCAGAGCCATTGTGTAAGCTATTTCCATCTAGTCCTTTCCTGTTGATCACTCATGTCTCAGCTAGGTGTTTCAGCCCCCAGGAATCCTTACCTGACCCATTGGTGAGCTGAGCTGGGTGCCAGTATGCACTCCTAAGAACCTTGGTGGTGTCTTTGTCTTGCCTTCTGCACAGGGCTCCTTGAGGACAGAGATATTTGCTTGTGTTCTCAGGGTTAAGTCTAATACTAGGTTTCTGGCCTAGAATTCAGAATTGAATTAAAATAGGCCAGCCAAGCCCAAATCTTTCTAGAGACCCAATAGCTGGTTAGATGTCTCAGGTGAGCTTGTTGTCATGTATCCTGAAGAAGCTGCCTCTGACCCATGTGGGACCCTCCCCAACCCCTGCCCTGTCACCATGGTAGGTCACGAGCCCAGGGTTTTGCCCCAAGGAGTGGCTCACTCTGGCCAGGTCTCTGTGTGTCAATGGATGTTGTGGAGAGTGCAGGCCCTGATGACCTATCTACCTACCCTGGCCTCCTGTCTTGGTGCTGTTCTTACTGACTCTTTTTCCTCTTGCCTTGCAGGTGCCAAGCGCTGGTTTGCGGATACCCAGGCAGATCTGCAGTGCCTAATGCCATGAGCGTGGTAGTGCAGCATGTGGAGGAGAAAGCTGTGCACTCCTGGTCGAGGATCTCCACAGCAGGGAAAAAGGCCCTGGAGGAGGCGCTGCTTGTCTTTAACCCCATGAGCCAGGATCTCAGTGCCACAGAGGCCCAGCTTGTGGCCTTCCTGCAGGGCCTGCGAGATGATGGCTTCCAACCTACCGTCCTGCGCAGTGGTGATGTCTATGGGTATAGTTCGTGTACAGCCAACCCCCCAAGCCAGACAAAGCTACAAGCTCGTGCCCCCACCCCAGCTGCCACATCACCCCCAACCAGTGCTCCCCGAACTGCCACGCGGCTGCCTGCGGGCCGGGCCACGCTGCTCCCCATGCCACTGTCTGGCAGGCTGGCCAAAGCATCCACGCCAGCCCTTGCCAAGCATGCTACCACCAACCTGCTGCTGAGCTCCCTGAAGCAGTCAAGTGCCAGCCATGCCCAGGGTGCAGCCGTCGGTTTCCCTGCCCACCTCTATCCAGGTGTCTACCCTGCCATGCGGCTCTCGGTCGTCCTTGAGGCCCTGGTTCCACTCAAAACTCCCATGCCCTGCTTGGGTGCCAAGCACAAGGCACAGTCACTGCAGCTCTCACTTGTAGACTCTCCACTGAAGCTGCGGAAAGGTCCAGGGAAGGGGCCGGGGAACTCCCGGCCCAAAGCTCCCAGAAAGGCCACAAGCAAGGGCCCCAAGTGTCTGACACGCAAAGGCCCCAGGGCTGGACCCCGGCAAGGCACTGGGCCCCAGAACAAGACCTACAAAGCCACTGGGTCCCTCGGTAATCTGCGAATGAAAGGTGGCTCTACCCTGGGCACCAAAACAGCCCAGGCCAAGGCAGCTCGAACAGTAGCCAAAGCTGCTCGTGTCCAGGCCAAGGTGGCTCGAACACAGGCCAAGACTGCCAAGGCCAGAGCAAAAGCCAAGACAGCACAGATCAAGGCCAAAGCCAAGGCAGCACAGATCAGGGCCAAGGCTAAGGTGTCACGGATCAAGGCCAAAGCCAAGACAGTGCGGGCCAGGGCCAAGGCTGTGCGGGCCAAGGCCAAGGTGGTTCGGACCCAGCCCAGGGGCAGGGGCAGGCCAAAAGGGTCTGTCCAGGCCAGGACTGCAAGGAGGGGCCAGAAAGGCCACCCTGAGACTGGGGGACAGAAGAGGAAAAGGGCTGAGGAGGCAAAGGATCTTCCTCCCTGGAAGAGAACAAGGCTTGGGCCCCGATCTCCTAAGGCATGGTTAGGGCCTGGAACAGCAAAGCTGCTGAAATTCCGGGTCATCAAGGTGGACAGGCGGTCCTCGGACGATGAGGTGCGGCAGCGGGCTCAGCGGATCCTCCGTGTGAACCTATCCCCTGTAATTCGGCTCCAGCCATTGCTGCCGTACTCGGTACCCTGATTCCTTCACATAGCTGTGTTTGGGGAAATTGAGCCCAATTGTCTGTGTAGCGAGTGGCACAGTGTGCAATGCCCATGGACTCCACAACCCCAAGGACTCCAGGTGCCTCTCCAGTGCCCCGAGAGCCACCAGCCTCCTTTCAGAGATTGAAAGATGTGGGGTGGGGATGGGTGGGCGGGAGAGGGTGTTCTCATGGCGCAATGCACTGTGACTTGTTACTCTTCAAGTTGTACGTCCACTATTCCATCTATCACGTTTTATACCTTTCCACCTTCCAGTCTCCCTGCCCACCCTCCATGGTATTTTTTGTGTGTGTGACTGTGATAGGCCAGCTTGAGCATATAGGAAAAGTGGCCTCAGGAACAGGGCTGCCAGAGAGGGTCCTGATAGCCTGGGGCAGGTCGCTGATGTGAGTTATGGGATGGTGTGGGAAGGGGCAGCTCCCAGGCCTCTGGATATTCTGGCCTCTGGGTGTGTGAGAGGCAGCCCCTGAGGGCAGGAGCAGAGCTACTCTGAGGTGGGACACCTCCCCTTGGAGCTGCCCTGGTTTGTTATCCAGATAGGCCCCATGCAGGAGGACAGTAGGTAGCTCTATGGGGAACCTTGCAGCCAGCAGGTTTTTAGGTCAGGGAAGGGGGGTTTTGTGCAACTGCTCCCTGGGGGCAGAGCAGACAGCCTGGCCGTGTCTCCTAAAAGCCCGTGTAGCTGAAACCTTGGGGTTTTGTCTGGGCTTGTCTGGAGCAGGGCCAGGCCTAAACTGGCTGATGTACCTCTGCCTCTCCTCCCCTCTGCTCCTTTCAAGAGTGACTAGCCTCTACTTCCCCAGTTGGTGGCAAGGGGTTGGGAGTTGAGTCAGGGGCCAGGGCTCTGGGTTGTAGGGCCGCAGAATCTGCCCTCACTGACCAAGGAATTTTCTCATTGGATGGGTGGGGTGCTCTGTAGCTGAGCCAGGAGAGTTTCCATGACATCCTTGCTCCATCAGCAGTGCTTTCTACCTGGGTTCCAAGTGCTCTGTCTATTCCCAGGTCCAACCTCATCATGCCTCCCAACAGGGGCCTGTATGTTTCAGACGTTATCAGCTCTTACTGCTTTGGAGAGGGGGCTGGGCCCTGAACCCTAAATAAAAGTAGTTCCCTGTCCATCTGCCAGTCCTTTGCCTGCTGCCCAGCCTGAATGGCAGTGGCTGGGGCTGGTGGGGAGGGGGACACATTCCCCAGAGGCTCCTGGAGACAACAGCCTTTCAGAGCTAGGGGTAGGAGCCTCATTTGAATGAGAATCTGATCTTTTCTGTCACTGCGGGTTAGTCTGAACCTTGGCCCCACTAGCAGCGGCTGTATTGGATGGTGGACCTGTAGAGAAGCTCTGTGTGCTTCTTGGTGCATCCCTCCCCACTTTTCTTGTGCATCTATTAATATCCTTCCCCTGGGCGCGGCCTCCTTTTGTTCCCCAGGCTCTGGGGACCCCCTCACTCCCAACTGCAATGTAGCCTAATAACCGTGTATGCTCCTTGCCTCTGGCAGCCGTGCTTTCATCTACCGTGTAAGTATGGGGAATGACCTGAGGGCCCCACTCAACTCCTCAAGGGCAGCCCAGCGTGGGGCTTACTCTACATTCTCTCAGGCCTGATTCCATCTCCCACTGCCCAGGACCCCCAGCTAGGCTAGACCCCCTCTCGATTCTGCTGCTGCTGCCACTGATGGGTGAAGGGTTGGCTCTTTCCCTGAGCGCCAGCTAGAGGGGGAGAAGAAATCTCCAGGTCTCCCTGTGGGGTGGGGTGAGGTGGGGGTACCCTTAGGATCTCTACTCAGATCCTGCCCCTCCCAGCCCAGGCTCCCAGAGCAATTGCCCAGGAGGTGCCAGACACAATTCCCCCACTGGGCTGCTCAAGTGGCAGCTGCTACCCACCCACCAGAAACCTGAACCTGATTGTTGGCTGTGGCCAGAGCATTTGAACCTGATGGACCTGTGGCCTCCAGGGTCCTGAGCTCTACTGCATTGTCAGTTACCTACAGGTGGTGAGGAGGGTGAGGGTTCTGGAGATGTTATTAGGGTTTTTCTGGGCAGATTCGGCCCTGTGGGGGTTCAGGTCATTGTTGGGGACTGGAGAGAGGGCTGTGCTCTGAATTTTTGGAATGGGGGGCTGACCATGCACCCACTGCCTACTCAGTCTCCTTGGGCCCTCCCCCAGCACTCTGAGAATTGCTGCTTCTGTGACTCTCAGGTTTGGGGAGGCCGTGGCCCTGAGAATGTGATCTCCCAAAGCAAGCACAGTCATGGCAGCAATAAGACCTGGTGGCAGGCACAGAGTAGTGAGGGGGCTGCTGTGCCCATGTATGCAGGTCTGGGGTCAGAGCCTGGTCACTTTGATCAGCCCTTGTGGTTACAGGTGTTGAGAATGTCACCATCTAGCTGGACCTAGTAGGTGCCTTCTACTTTACCCACCTCATCATGACTGTCAAGGTGACCCACTACCCCAACCTGAAGGCTTGCTCTGTGCCTCCCACCCTGATGACTACCAGTGATGCTTGCCCGTGGTGACCCAAGGACCCCCAGGGTCTGTCTGTCCCCAGACATTCCACCCAGAAGCTCTGCTCCTCAAGCGCTCAGTGGACCATGGCCACTCCTGGCATATGTACCGATACTTTGCCCACAACTGCTCAGGCCTCTTTCCTGGGATTCTTCCTGCCCCTGGCCACAGTGTCAGTGACCTTGTCTGTGACCAGTGTTACTTGGACATTGAGCCTTCCACGGAGGGGTAGGTCAGGCCCAGAGGAAGGAGGGTCAGGCCCTGGGGTGAAGTGAGAAGCTCAAGCTTGCTTCTTTTCAGGTAATTTTCAAGGTTCTGGACCCAGCCATTCTGGTGGAGGATCCGAACAACCCCAAGATTCAGGGTAATTGTCCCCACAGCCAATCCTGTACTCCTTGTCTGGCTGCGGGGGTGTTGGGGAGGTGAGGTCCTACCTGAGCATGTGCACTGGTGGAGCAGGGTGGCAGGCGAACCAGCTCAGTCCCCCAGCATCGTTCCCCAACTCTTGCCCCATTGTGGTCCTCTATTGTGGTCTCTGTTAAGGCCTCCCATTTGTGTCCCATCACTGTTTCCCATACCTGTGCCCAGTGCATAGGGACTGGCATAGGTAAGCAGTTTCCATCTCTGCCCCATCACTAAACTCCTTTGTGGGGCACCATTGTGGTCCCCATCACAGCTATCCATGCCAGACTCCATCACTGTCATCTCTCTCTGCTCCTATCACTGTACCTCATAACTCTCCTTTTTATAAGCCTCCATCACCATTCCCCATCACTGCCCCATCATGGTCCGCCTGTCATTGCCCTCACCGTTAATCATCCTGGCCTGGTTGGTGCCCTACGTCCCAGAAGCTGCCTCTAGGTGGCGCCAGGGCGTCTCGGTGTGACCTCTTCCTTGTAAAGCAGAAGTCTTGTTAAAGGACAAGAGGGACACATAAACAACCCAGCAGGGCAGCCCAGAGCCAGGCCAGGCAAGTATTAGAGCAGGACAAACCCCAAACTAGCTTTGTCTCTACACTCTCCACCCACCTGGACTGCGGTTATTACCAACTACTCACCCTGGGCCCTCACGCTAGGTCCCTGAGCAGCTGTTGCTTGTTCCTCTGATCAGGAGAAAGGGGAGACCTGGCAAAGGAGAGATACAGAAGGTAGCCTTAGTTTAGTAAGTGACTTAAGCTGTAGAGCAGAACGAGGAGCCAGGGATCCATCTCTCCTTTCATGTGTACATTTCACCAGTGCCCATTGAGCCCCACTGTCTGCCAGGCATCTTCTGAGCAGAGCTCAGGAGGGAGCAGGTAGACAAGGTATCTGTCTTGGAGCTGACATGAAAGAAAGACAGTTGATAAATAAGCAAACTAATAGCTTATGTGGTTTGGATGATAAGCTGATTTCTAGTTTGGATGATGGATTGGGGAATGGAATCCTTTACTGCGTTGGGGAAGCAGGTTTCAGACATCTAGAGATGCTAGAATGGGGTGTACAGGAGACAGTGGGATATGCAGGTCTCAGCTCAGGAGCAATATCAGGGTCGGAGCAGTGCAGAGGTGGAAGAGCTGTGGTCATCCTAAAATGGTATGCCCAGAGGAGCAGAGATGGAGGAGTCTCACAGCATGGGTGCTGGAGGAGGTGGCTGCAATGCTGCAGAGAGGGAAGAGAACCCCCCCCCCTCATCTTTTCCCCTCCATCCTAGACAGAGGGATGATGACCAAGGCACCTGAGGTCTCACGATCTGAATCTCTGGAGCTCTTTTGTGTGACTAACCTCCATGTGAACTCCAAACTGCACACACTGGGTGACAGGCCCCTGCGGGGCCTCAAGGGATACCCCTTCTGCTACTATGCCCTCTGTGAGATTGTGGCCCAAGGCAGCTGCCTGTGCCATGACCATGCCTCTGAGTGCAGGCCTGCACCCAGGACCCCAGCTAATGTGGAAGGCATGGTGAGCACCACGGGAGGGGCATCCTGTTGCTGGTGGCGTGGACAAGCTGAGGGACTAGGGAAGACTCTTCTTGCCCTCCTCTCTGCCAGGTGCATGGCTATTGCATCTGCCACCACCACACAGCTGGTACCCACTGTAAGCACTGCCAGAACCTGCACCAGGATCACCCATGGCATGCTGCAGAGCCTGGGCACCCCCATGCCTGCTGTGGGAGGTGCCGTGCCCTACTCTGCCTGGCCATACTTGCCATGGGTCAGCCCACTCCATATCCACCTTCCTTGTTCTGCCTCAGAATGCAAGTGCCATGGGCATGCCTGCAGTTGTCATTTTGACATGGTCCTGCACCTGGCATCTAGCAATGTAAGTGGAGGCGTGTGTGACGCATGTCAGCACAACACAGCTGGGCACCACTATGAGCTCTACCAGCTCTTCTCCCATTGAGATCCCCGAGAGGATCCCCATTCCCTTCACTCCTGCAAATGTGAGCCCTCCAACCCCCAATCCCAACTCTGACCCAGATCCTTCAGTTCCATGGTGACCTCTGACCTAACTCTGTCCTCACTTCTGACCCCTGATCCAGCCTGTGACTGTGACCCTGTGGGTGCCCTGGAACGGGGTTTGTGTGATGCCCACATAGATGAGACCCGTGGCCTCCTCTCTGGGCAGTGTCACTGCAAAGTTCACGTCTAGGGGCGGCACTGTGACTCCTGTCGGCCTGTCACTGTGGCCTGAGCCCCACTCAGTCAGAGGGCTGCCAGCGTGAGTGATCCTAAGAGTGGTCCCCCACCTCCATGTCCTCCTTGCTCTGCC